AAATGTTTGGGTGGATTGTATATCTGTGTATCAGTCTACTGTTTCCATTGATGTACATTGTAATTTAGAACATGCAGTTCAGTTTCATCCTTAGCACACATGCTAATGCTGATTCATAGAAGGAGAAACCTGAGACCACGGATTATATGCTCAATAAATATTTCATGAGCACCTACTATGTTCCAAGCATGCTGAGGCTTCAGCAGTGAAAAAAGAGACCAGGCCTTTCAGTTGTGTGTCTTGAGAGAAGAATCAAAAGGAGTTCTCATGGCTAGGAGAAACCATTGAGCAAACAAAGATGGAACATTTGACAGCAGACTGATTTTATTCGCACCATGGTTTTACCATATACCTGTTCTAATATATTAGGTAAAATAATTACCCATTCTGGTCTGTTTTCTTATCGCAAAATGGGAATTATCCCATATGCATTATGCCAATGCAACATTTTTATTGAAAGAATTAGAGGTAATATCTAGAGAGAGTGCATGATCCACAAAATGCACACAATGGAGGCATAATTTTTAATGACTTTTTTATTTTAATTGTATAACATCGGTGCCTCACACCACAGTAGGCACATATTGGGCACTCAATAGATTGGTAACCATAATTGAGCAACATCATACTTTCCTTAGTCACCTTCATTTAATAAATCAACAGATATGTATTTTGTAGCCATTTTTGCAGGCAAGGACCTCGGTTCAGATTCTTACCATTCCAGAAACGGGTCAAACCAATTTTGCTGAGACCATTTACATGGGTCAGACAGTCCTCAAAAGGAATCCATAGCAAGAGGTTTGTCACATTGTATAATGTTTTCAATCCTCTGAATACCACTTTCCAAAGACCTTGGAACCTAAGAAAATGCTGAGCGAGTTATACAGGATGGACATTTAACCATTAAGTTAAATGGACTAAGTTCTATGTAAAATACAGATGCACTTGCTCTAACTGACCTAAATAGCAACAGCCTTGAAAGAAGCTGAGAATTTTAAATTTCTAAAATATATTGCAAGGAATTGTGGTTAAATTCTTACTCCTTATACATTTCTAAAGATTTTCTGTAAATATGAAATAGTAGTGGGAAAAACTACATTTGAACTTACCCAGAATGAAAAACGCCTTTAGTTTTTGGATAGAATCCAGAATGGAAAGAATTTTACATTTTTTCTTATTATTATTGTAAACACTGTTGAAATAAACTATGGCTAGAGATTAACTAAGGGCCAGAGCAGAAAAGAAGGAAGGAAGAAGGAATTAAATGGTATTTATAAGATTTTGCTTTTCTGTATGAATTGGATGGATTGTTTGTTTAGGGAAGAAGCAGAAAGTAAAAGGAAAATGACAGATTGTATGAGAAATTTTTTTCTGCTTGAGTTTGTCATATCGTTGATATTGAACTGCTGATTTCAATTAGGGATTATTAGCTTATAAAAACATATGTACAAGCTGGTATTCAGAGTATTTCAAAAATGCCTCGGTGAATCACTAGATCATGCGACAAGATTTGGGTTCTCTAGAACTGCTATTTGATGACTATCTACGTATGTTTTAGTTTAGCCATTATATATGTTTCAGTTTAGCCACTGAGATGCAATTCTTAGATGGGATATGGTAGTTTTCTTGGAATAACAAACAACAGCATATAACTCAGTTAGGACAGGATGAATTCAAAAGTGTTTAGATGAGTGGGGGAAAATGATAAATGATGTATTATGATTTTTAAATCCTCATCTGGCCAACTTTGTACTTTATTTCAAACAGCTGTGGACCATTTGGAAGACATTTTGTAACTCAACTAAATACTAATATTTACTGTATGAATCACATACCTTTAAAATATTTGTCTTTCCCTAAGAGTGAGAGACTATTTCTTTCCTAAACTTAACTTTGACATAAATCAGACCCATCCTTGTCAGTTAGAAGGTCTGTGCACTTGCTCGTGGCAGTGGTTGTTCGTTGCCAAATGCCGTCCTGGGACATCTTTGCTTTCTGCAAGCAGAGGACTTTCTTCATCCATAATTAGAGGCTTTGAAATGCTTTTGAGAGATTTTTTACTGGTAATTTTTAAACATCTTTTTTTAAAGGATTTCCCCTACTTCACCTGCATGTGGAATTTTTATGTATCATCATTCATTCATATTTGAGGCCTTTCTTCAGACGTTTCCATTAGATATAGAATTCAAGCAACATCCTTGTCCAATTTTAGAAGGTAACATTGGAAAGATATACAGAGTGTACAAAGTAGGACCCATCAGGTAGTTCTCAAAGATGGAGGTGCTAATTACTGTTGAGGAGACCACCTCAGATTTTAATTCTGGTCCAGGCTACTCCCCTTTCAACACAATTACAGGAATATACCTTCTGAAATGACCCCCCTTTGAATTCTCCCTCTGAATATCTGCAGCTATTCAGGAAAGAGTGGATCCATCAATCCATGTAATGTGACATGATGAGTTTACTCTTTCCTAAAGTGGTATTTAGGCACTTATGCGACGAACCCACATAGCCAATCATCAATAGCCAATAGGGAGCCATTTGTAGAAAACAGGGGACTCTGCATGCTAGTCAGGTATCCTGTAACAACATCGATTTTGGAGGGAAACCGGGGACACATGCAGCCTGAAACATGTGGAGTTAGCTACCTTTCTTCCCTGGTTGTTAAGCAACAAATTTCAGGAAAGTTAACACTTTGTGTGATGTTAACTGCCAGGAGCTCAACAAAGGGATAGCGTCGTAGTCACACTGTTGCTGTTTCAGTAGAAACCAATGAAAGAAAAATGATAGATACTGCAGTCAGACCATCTGGCAATACTGTCTTATCTGCCACAACTTAGAAAATGCCACTGTGGACAACGCTATGGACCAAAGTGCATTCTGTTTGCCTTTGAAAGCAAAACATATCCTAGTTAGCTGAATGGGAGTCACTTGGAGTAGCATATTAATAAAAGCATGATAGAAATGCTTAGGGTATACAAGGATGCATTACCATAAAAGACATGTTGACTAAATGTTTGCTTCAAAGTCCTGAATAGGATTTCTATCTCTGTAGGAGAAAAACCCTCTTGAAACAGTTTTAAGGTATTAAAAGCAAATGTAAACATTGTCAGTTTAAGGTCATTAATTATAAATTATGTCTTTGAGAAGAGGTTTAAGGAAAAACTATAAACAGAAATCTGTCTCTCAAGAAAAAAAATAAATCAATGAAAAGCAGGAGAGCTGTGTTTCGTGGCTGCACCGAGGCTTACGATGTACACAGATCACACTGTTCGAAGGCACTTACTCGACTTTAGCGTGTGTTTGTTTTCACGTGTGAATTTCCAAAAAAGAATTTGAATTTGATTTCCAATAATTAGCTCAATAAATTTAGAATACTCCTGTATTTGAACCAAAGGATTTATTGGCTTTTTGCTTAAAAAAAAAACTGAAATATAATTTTTAAAGTTTCTGTAGTTTCATACTTAGTAAGATAGCACACTGATTATATGATAATATTGTACTAATTCTTAATTCCTTATTTTACTTGGCTTTTATTAAACCAAAATGCCAAATACAGAAGTCAAGGCTGAAGCCCTCCCTTTAAGAGAAAAATTAGCACATTCATTTCATAGAGTCCTGTTATAATTCTGTTGACAAGGTTAGTCACTTGTTTACCTTAAGTAAAATGTTCTGCTTTAATTAAAATATTCATGAGTAAATAATATTTCTCACATCTCGAATTTCATAGTTGGTGTTGGGCTCGGCAAACCACAGTCAGCATTTGAAACCATAAATTGACCCCTGCTGCCAAATAGCAGATATTTGGTCTTTAGACATAATTTATATTTAACTGCTCTAATTCCGAAGCCACTTTTCAATACTGATCTGTGTGTCTGTTTTTGAGCTCAGCATTACAAAATATTAGCCAAGCCTTATTCCCTGCTGTAAAATCCAAAATGTGGGACATTTAAAATAGCTGTATCAATGAAAATACATTTCCATTTACACAGTGAAGGATGAAAAATATTTTGTTCTTTAAGGCTGATTTCAAAAGATTGCCAAAAATATACTCTAAAGCCTTGAAAGAATCAACTTAATGGTAGCAGACAGCCATGTGTGTTCACTTTGCTAATCTTTCATTTTCAACTCTAATGACTGCTCACTGTTTAACTTAGCGATGTGACCTTTAGCATACAAGCAAGTCATTTTTCAGTACTTTTGCTGAATTTAGGATGATTTTGCTTTTATTTTCAAGATGATTCCCTCTCAGAAATGGAAAGCTTCTGTAAACTGAAATTCATTTCGGAACATTTTTACCTTTTCAAAATGAGGTGTCCACAGACCCATGACATCCAGTGTTTTTCTTGGAAAGGACACGACCAGAGTGGACTGCAGGGCAGGGCACGCATGCAATCCACAGCCACTTGGGCTTCCCATTCCTCTCCCAAACGTGTCCTTAATCACCATCACTGTTTCCTGAGTCTTAGAAAATAGAACTTCAAGGCTCCAAATCGTAACTGAGTGATGAACCTGCAAACTCCATTCTGTTTCCTTTGATTTGCTTATTGAACATGATTTGTCATCTCTAAATTCTGTCTTTGTTTTTGTATTTAGCATGGAACATATATATCAGGATGTGAATGCTCTGTGGAGTTATCTGCCCATTATATAGATATGAATGCCTTATTTACTCACATGTGGTTTCCCTGGGAACCTTCATCAATAGTATCTTTGTAAGCCAACTACCTCTACACTCATAGCTACCCAGATAAATCCTTTCATATGTTTTATGTAAAGGTGTAAAGTTTTACTGTTGTTAATTTTTTTCTTATCTAGTCTATTGCCATACTTCTTAAAAATCTGTTTCAGTAAGAAAACACAATCTTTGAGGAGCTATATATTATTATATTATATAACTATAACTGTGTATGCGTGTGCAATTATCATTCTATATTGTACTTCTCTGAAAACAAAAGCAGATGCACTTTCTAATTTAAGACTCTTTGCTGTTGTTGCAGGTCTATAAAAAGAAAACCGAGGCTGCAAAGAAGGAGTACCTGAAGCAACTTGCAGCATACAGAGCCAGCCTTGTATCCAAGGTAACGCGCAGTTTTGTGATAGTGTGACGGATTGTGGCTATCTCAGGGCAGATTTTGATAGTCACTTAAAGGCATAAAAGATCACTTTAACAATTCTGCACAATCTTCTTTGTTGGAAAAAAAGTAAATTATAAACAAAGCTATATGATATGGAAATATTCGTTCAGCTCTAAAAGACCAGAGCAGCATCCCCTGGGCCATTTCTAAAATATTGTCCACCTGTGGATGGTTGGTTGTGTGGATTAGTCACAGTACATTCTTCAACCCAAGCCAGCTTTCTACTTCTCCATATCCCCTTCCTAAATTGCCTCCAGGCCCCCATGCCATTGGCCTTTACTGAGGACATGCCAACTGTAAGTTCTAGACTCATTACAGCAGCATTAGGAGGTAAGCAGGCCCCAAAAATGTTTATAAATCACATCATTTTGTTTGAAAATAAAAACACCACTTAAAAATATTTAGTGATTTAGAATATCTTAAACACTAGTTCTTCCTGTTATAAATACTCAAGAGTTGACTCTGATTGGTTTCATGTTATTAAAGATACAGTTTCCTTTATGGAATTCTTCCGAAGGTAACCTCAGAGAAATGGACTGAGTCTGTAAGCATTAGACACTGTTATCTCAAGTCCCAAATGGGCTGTTACTGTGCTTACTGTGGTCTGGGGCTCTGGACTTCATCCCATTTCCCCTTAGAAAAGATGTTTTTTCTCATTCACAAATATCCAGACTCATTGTAATTCTAAAATAATTATATAAATTATGTTTTATTGAGGAAAATATGTACTGAATATACTGATGCAGAGAAGAAAAGAGAGCCCAAAGTACAAATGCATAAGAAATTTCAGTAAACTATTTGTCTAATCCAGTCTTATGTTCTACTTCTAAGGTATTGCACTGTGAGAAAACTTATTAGGTATAACTTACCTTAAAATTTCTAGCTTTTTTTGTATTATCTCACACTTTCTAATTTATCTAACTCCTTCTGAAGCTATTTATATTTTCTGCTGATACCAACTCACATTTCTGCTTATATTACATAGAATGTATATAAAATTATAACCTAACAAGTGTAAAATATTAGATCCATACAGCCATTGGATTAAATAATCGTGTGGATATTGTTAACAGATAATTACACCAAAAACATAGCGGGGCTTTTAAAAAGTTAATTCTCCTTACTTCATCCAAGATCAGATTCTTTTTGAAGATTTTAAATAGAGTTTTAGTCAGAGCACTTTACATAGGAGAAAATCAATACACGATGTCTCAATCCCAATACAAAGCACACTAGTTAATGATATGCAGATTGCCAGAATGCTGTGATACTGACTAAGCCTTTACTTTCAAAACAAGTGTCCTCAGATTTGCTCTTAGCTGCAACTTTTCTTACTATTCAGTTTCAGAGTTGCAACCCGCAGTGTACGGCAATTTGTATAAATGCTGCGAATTGCCATTTCTACATTTAAAAAACCCAGCACTTTTTTTACAGCTTACTCTGACATTTTTCTTCTCTTTGGCAGTAGAAATTTTGCTGGAGCTGTTGAATATCTATTTATGTACAACTATCTATTGTGTGTATACAAATTGAAGGCAAGTTACAAACATCCTCTCCAGGTTAAAAAAATGACCCTCCGATGTTGTATGTGAGTGGATATTTGCAGTGTAACTTTCTAGACATCATCAGAAAATTTTCCAGCCTATCCTCCCAAGGATATAACCATGTTTATAAAAATGTAATTCTGTTCCATTTTAATTATGACAAGGCAAATAATAACCAGTCGTATTTAAACATATTTTTTCTACATTATAATTTTTTTTACTATGTTATAAATTATTTCCCTATTCTAAAAGATTTAAAGGGACAAACAGAAAATGCTACATGATATATTCCATAATTATAACTCCCAGGAACCACCATGTGCCAGCCAAGCTCTACTTTTTCCCCACCTTCCGTTTATGTATTCATTTGACCAATCTTCCTGGGCTTGTGCTCTGTGCCAAGCACTATGCCAGGCTCAGAGAATGCTCTGAAGAACAGGCAAATCCTTTCCCTAGACTTGAGGAACTTTCTCTTTCGTCAAGGGAAATCATGAGTGAAAACATAAACTAATACATGATTGAGATTTGAGAATCCAAGTATTCTCGAGGAGATCAAGCAAGGCCTCTGCTTAGGTGATCTGCAAAGACCTCTTTAAAGAAGTGACATTGGATCTGGGGGTTGAAGGAAGACAGGAGCTTGTAGAACCAGAGAGCCAGAGGAAAGAGCTGGCCCAGGCAGTGTTACAACAAGTGCAGAGACTTGGGGTGGCAAAATGTTCCCTTGAATTGAAAAGGTCTGTGCAGCCGGAGCTGAGTGAATGGAGAGTGTGGTTTGAGCTGAAGTTGGGAAGATGGGCAGGAGCCCAATCCTGAAGGCCTTGGAGGACATTTGAAAGGAGCTGGGTTCATTCTCAGTACAAAGGGAAGCCACAGAATGGGTTCTGTTAGGGGATAGATAGCCTGATGAGACTTATGTTTTTAAAAGATCATTTTACTTGCATAAGTTCCCTTAATCCTCAGGCCTTATCCCTTGAAGTAGGCTTGATTATCAACATTTCACTGAAGAGGAAAGACACCTGCAGGTAACCAGTGGCCAAGGTTGACACTGACCTGCACTGCCCTCAGTCTTCTGCTGGGCCATGCTGCTCATGAGTCCTCTCAATGTGCTCCTCTGCACCCCAAGACAGCCAGTGCCTCAGAGTCATGGCACAGCATTGACATTCTCTCTGATAAGCTCATTTTTGTTCATGAAAAGCTGTGTTAGCCAGAGCACCTTGTCCATTTTCCTAAATTCTTCCCAGCCACTTTGACTTACTCCTCCAGAGCTCTATAATTTAGTACCTATTTTCTAGGCAAGGCATTCATTTCCCCAAATATGACTTTGCATTCCTAGGCCAATAGATCCTCTCACTAATTTGTGGTCATGTCATAGTCACAGTCTGCTCCTTCTCCCCTCTTCACCCCCAGGCCATACTCTGCATCCAGAGCAGGGCTGCAGGACACCTGTTCTATGTCAGACACAGGGCTGGGTGCTGAGAGACAAAGATGTATACAGCAGATCCAAGTGGACTGTTTCATGATACTTGAAAGGCCTGAAGTGATCCTTTAAAATTAGCTGCTTCTTATAGAACATAATAAAAAATAAGAACAGTCAATGACCTTTGACTCTACCTGTGAAACTGAGTCACAGGATTGACAATGCTTCAGTGATTACGTCTTCCATTTAAAAGTACTATATACCAGCCAGGCACGGTGGCTCATGCCTGTAATCCCAGCACTTTGGGAGACTGAGTCAGGCAGATCACTTGATGTCAGGAGTTCAAGACCAGCCTCGCTAACATAGTGAAACCCTGTTTCCACTAAAAATACAAAAATTAGCTGGGCATGGTAGTGGGTGCCTGTAATCCCAGCTGCTCAGGAGGCTGAGGCAGGAGAATCACTAGAACCCGTGAGGTAGAGGTTGCAGCAAGCCCAGATTGTACCACCTGTACTCCATCCTGGACGACAGAGTAACACTCCATCTCAAAATATAATAAAAAATTAAAAAGTTGCTATATACCATCTAATCCAGCAGATTAATTAGCGTGACTCCAGGCTTGAATAACATTGAAATCTGCCCAGAATAAAATGCTTAATCCTAGGAAACAAATATTCTAGCTTTTGTAACTTCCAAATGGAAATTCTGGCCCATTCTTACCAGGATATTGAATTGTTTCCAATAGTAACAAAAATATATATGTCCTCCGTCTACAGAGTAGCTTCTATGTGCCTTATACTGTGCTAGGCATTTTATATGTGTTCCTATTTCCCATCACAGCAAACCTGCACAGTAGGAATTAGCCCCATTTTCTAGACAGTCTCTAGGCAGAGAGAGTAAATGGCTTGCCCGCAGTGGCTGCAGCAGAGTAGGACTCAAACTCCTCACTGTCTCCTCTCTCACAAGCCTATAAGAGAGAGCTTATAGGCTTCTCTCTACCCTCAGTGATTCTCAAATGTTTCTAATCTTTCAAACCAGCACCTCATTTTATTGAGGTAACAACTTCCCATAAAATTCCATGCCAGCTCTTACATAGGAAATAGCTAAGAGTAAAGCTGCCCTGGCTTAATTGAGGGTGGAGTCCAGCCGACTGCCCACTCTGGTACCCCCACTACCAACAGAGGCTGAGACCTTCAGAGGAATCTGGGCCTGCTTAATGTTTGGAAAGCACTGCTTTGTGCTATGCTATTCCAGCCGGGTGGGTTCCTCAGCTGGTCGTGTGGAGCCAGTGACAAAACTGCCCAGCTCTGGTCACTCCTGCTGTAAAAGCAAAAGAATTTCAGGACACATGTATAAGACACAGGATGCTGCAAACACAGCACTGGTCAGACTCCAGAATACCTTCTTCAATTTTAGGCTCTGTCATTTAAAGGGGGAAGTTGGAAAAGGTCATAAAATTGACTGGAAGGCCAAAAGTTAGAAGGTAGTAGCAGAAAAAGAGAGGATTCAAGCTTATGAAACCCAGAAAACAAAGACTCAAGGGTGTTTAAGTCCACACTGGCATTAGACATAGGTTAGCGATTATTCATGCTTAATTTTCTCTGACTACAGAATAAGAAAATAGGTTCCATTTCAAATTAGATGAATTTAATCTGAACAGGGGACATTGCTGAATGCTTGAATTGTTAAAATGAACAACTTCTTTCCATAGAGAGAAACTTAAAAGCAGAAGCAAATGTTATAAATAAGGATTGGAGGCCTCTAAGGCAACTTCAACCTCTGTGCTTCTATAGGGAATCACGGGAAGCCTGTTCTAGGACCTCTAAAAGTGCCACCTCTATCGTACTGGGAGAGTCCCCAGGCTGAGGAGTCTGTAGTCTCTGGGGTGGGTGGATCTAGATTTGAATCCCAGGTTTCCCACTTCCAAACTGCATATCTTCATGCAGTTCCTTGTATGTTCTAAGTCTCCATTTACTCAAATG